TGTGCATTGTGTATACAAGTTCAAAAGTGCTGTCTCAGTGATGTGGTGCCAGATGATGATTCCAAATGTATTTTGTGCTGCCACAGTCCAAGTCATGTGTCAGGGGGACCACAGAAAAGTGTGAAACAGTGGTCATGTGTTGGGTTAGATGTTCAACTATGTCTGCCATTTGTGGAGGAAAGATGGTCTCTCATAATTGGGTCATTTTGGTTCCTTTTCTTAGAAATGGTTCTGTTTAGAAAATTGTGTACTTTGAAGCCCAATAGTAAACTTGTAGATAATATTGCATCTTCATTGGTGTTTTGATATAATTTGTAAATTTTTGAATATTGTAATTGCTGATTTATTTATGTTTTGTGCATATGTCTGCCCACAGTATGATGGTAAGAAACCCATCTCCAAAGAGCTTTCCTGTGATGAGACAATGAACTACCTGTTTACTTTATTAGCAAGCAAGAAGACATTTGTGAATGCATGTCAACTTGTGGAGGACATTTTGCAACACAGAAGAGAGGTCCTAGACTTGCACAGCATTGGTAAGTTGATCGTGGAACAGTCACTTCAGTAGCTGGCTTGTGTGCTTAGCTGGTTTGTTCATGTCCCATTGGGTTTTTTAGGATTGTTGGTTTTTAGTTTAGTTATTGTTTAGAAACATTTGGCATGCTTTTAGTTACATTTTTATTTCCTTATTGTTGTTTTAGTCGGATACACCATCATAGTAGGTCGTACACTATGGACAACATCAGCACAAATATAGTTTGTTGTGACAAAGGGGTGTTTTGCTTTTTAAGAATCATTTTTGTTGTTAGTTTTTTGGTTTTCACATCCTTTTTCTAATGTTTGGTTTGTTTTAAGCTAAAGAGAACGATTTTGTGCCAAATTGAGTTTCCATGATAGTAGTCTTCTGTGGAAATCAGAAATCCACAATGTCAATGGAGAGCAGACAAATTTTCTTATTTTCCTCTTTTCACTCTCTTCCTCTGCTCCTTCCCTTTTCATTAAATCCGTGCATTCTACCCAGAATTTATTTTTACAATTCTATGAGAAATGTACATATTATTCATTGGTGAACTGTTTTACAGTTTTGGGCCCAGAGAATACAATTTATCAAGAGAGAAAAAACTATTTCATTTTTTCACCCAAAAAATTGTACCTGCATTGTGCATGTGGTCTGGTCAACAGGTTTATTAATTTAATTTTTTGTTTTTGACATTTCAGCTAACTTACGAACTCTTGTCGGATGCCTAGATGATTCTCAACTTGCCAACTTCTGTCGGATATTAGCAGTGGCCATTTCAGACTTGGACATTTATGAAAACAAATCTTCCCGTGAGTAAACAATAATATCTGTGTCTACTTCGGTAAAGAATGTGGTTGTCTGTAGTGGATGGAAGATTATGAATTTAGATTTTAGAATACAGTTTCTCTATAGAATTATCCTTCTGTGACTTTACATTTAGGGTTTTCAATTATGGCCATAATTATTCAGTATAATTGGGTCTTTCTTTTTTCATTTCTGGGATTCAGATCACTAGATTTAATTGATAAAATTAGTTTGTGAAGCAGAATTGTTTTGACTTATTGTGTACTGTACCTTCTCAAGATGTAAGTAACACAAGAAACAAAAATATGTGTGGTTTAGTCTGTGGCCAAATGATGTTTTTTAATATTGTTTCTTCATTTCCCTTTCCATCATTGTCATCTTACATTCCCTTCATCTCACCCGCCCACCCCCCTATATTTTTAATTTTTACAAGAAGTCTTTTCCTTCTCTTTTTGTATATTCTTTGACTTCCTTGAAATGCCATTTCTTGTAATGTGTTTCTATTCTTTTTCTTTCCAGTTTTTGCACAAAATAAACAGAAAAGAAGCAAAGGGTTTGTGAATGTACGAGACATCAATCAAGGTATATGAGGCTCTCTTTTCTTGTCCTTAAATTTTGTTTTTATTGAGGTGTCTATTGACTATTTCCACTTGATTCAGTCTAGGAAAATGTACATGTTTATATTATATATTTGTCCATTTTTGTCTGGTTTCTGGTTATGTATGTAATGTGTAGAGATGTTGGTTGGTGGATGCTCATGTGTGGTCTGCTGCTTTGTTTCAGTTTTGGTGTTTGGTTCTGTTCTTGAAAAAATATATTGCAGTTTGTTTGACTTCTGCCTTAACTTTCCCTCAACTGTATCTGTGTGTATAATGTTATCTTTTGTGTCCTCCCACCGTCAGATTTATAGGAGACTACAGCTGAATAGTTTGAAATTATTTAATACTCTAATGAGGGTTACTCTGTTGATGATATGCTTTCTGTTGTACTCACATTGAAATTGGAGGGAATGAAATGGTTTCAATAGTATATAAACATGGATTTATTAAAGGTATGGTGAAAATAGATTCTAGAATGGAATGCAAGCCCCTTGCATGAGTGACTCAAAGAGCTGACTTTGTGCATGAGCTTACCATGGATAAGAAGGTTGATTAAGGGGAGCCAGACACTTTGTGAATTGTGAGTCCTCCAAGGAATTCAGGACGTTGAATGAGGCCAGAGACTGGAGTTGGTGACAACTCGAAAACTGTTTAACTGTTTTTGGCCAAGTCACTTTTTAAAAAATACAGTAAATAAAAATTGATTTTAGATTCAGTATTTCTCATACTTCGATGTTATTGAACAAACCTGGTATATTTCTTCCATCTAGTTTCATGCATTGTTGAATGTTGTGTGTATATCCAAAACTTTCAATCTTTCTGCAGAGCTACTATTAAGTATACCAGAATTGTTGCCTCGACTTGTACAGATTGCGATCAATAAAGAATGTAAGTAATGCTGTACATTTTTCTCTTCTAATCCAAAATTTTAATTAACACGAAAATAAAATGTATTAATTCAATGTCAGAGCTAGATCTTTTATTCTTAGTAATGTCTGAGAGAAGAAAACCCACTTCCAAAGAGACTCTCATGGAAATATAAATTGCAAGGCAGAAGCTTACATTTTATGGGTAGGTCGGGCTCTGTTTTTTAATTGTTGGGCAGTGTTGTTCCTTAGAAATTATAATATATATTCCCAAGAAATGAGACAGGACACTCAGTTGTTTTAGTTTCTCTTTAAATGTATCTAACTGCCAAATCCAACAAAACACCACTTATAAATACAGTGTTCTTTTAAGAGATTAAGAATGTCAATGAAATGTGAAGGTTGAAAGCACATATGTGTATCGTTTGTACAGACACTCCACGATACAGAGGCATGCCCAGTGAATTGGACTGCTGGATGGAGTGGATTGACAACCAAATGGCAGATGAAGTATATGAACCTCAAGCAGCTGATGATTTCGATGACTTTATCGGAGGTATGTTTGTTTTTGTTTTTTTATTATGTGTAATGCTTTTGAGACTATCTTAGAAATATGAAGAAAAAAAATTAATTAGTGATCTTTTATTTGTTTGGATGCAAAACTTACTCGTTTTTGTAAAATCAGTGCCTTTACCCTCCTGATAAAATATATTGGCTACAAATGCCTTTCGTTTTTTGTTTTTTTTAAAATGATCTAAGAAATGATTCATCTTTCTTCCTTTCGCTGATACTGATGCAAATGGGTGTAATTTTGCAGTAAAAGTAAAATGTTACCCTTTGAAATCCTCCTCACTCCAATTGTACAGGTGTATCGGAGCCAACATCAGACGGCAGCCCTATGGTGGCCCAGCAAGCTCTCACCATCACAGAAGAACTGGTGCAGAGGGTGGAAGTTGTCTATGTACTCGGGTTATTCTTACTTGGCAAACATAGGAAAAAGGTGAGCAGACAGAATTTTTTTAAAGTGTGCTTGTTTTTCTTAAGTATCGATTATTCCACGGTTTTATATATTGACAATGTCTAAGAGTTTTACCCAATTCTAGAAGTTGTTTAGCCTTGCAGGACAAGAGCAAGAATTAGTCAACTTCATAGTTAGGTACCCTAGATAATCTAGTTGCAGTCAGTTTGGCAGTCTCTGTGTTTACATCTCGGTATGAAAAAAATGGCCTTGCAGTAGAGTTGGGGCGAGCGGACGGACGGGTTCGTTACTCGCGGACTCAGTCAGAGCGAACGGGTAACGGACGGCCCTGAGAACGAACTGCGAACCTCAAGACAGTTCGTTTTTTGGGTCCGCTCCACAATTTGACTCTCTCAGGGAGCGGACTGCGGACCTCAAGCCTCAAGTCAGTTCGTTTTTTGGGTCCGCTCCTCAATTTTATTCACTGGGCGGGCGGGCGAACGGACGAACTCTAGCAGACGAGATACTCGACGCGAGATTAGACCCATCGTCTATTGTTTGTTAATTAGGCCTGATGTTTCAAACCACTAGCGGTGCCACAGGGAGTGAGAGAGGCTGGTGACGTAGTACTATGTGTGTAACCTTTCACCTCGTGCGTGGGGCACACTGTGTACGTTCCTATGATCGCAAAGGCGAGGGGGGGGGGGGGGATTTCCGCCGTGAACGCCTAGCTACAATGTGAGGCAGGAGGGTGATTTTTTAATTTATTTATTAATTTTTTTGGGGGGGGGGGGGGGGTTGTAAGTTGTAGGCAATGGAAGGAGTCATTCCCGTCCGTCCGTCCGCCTGCTCGAATACATGGAGTCTCTTGGTCCGCTCGCTCGCTAAACGAACTTTTGTCTCTGCACGATGTGTAGCGAACTACTCTTCACAAACGGACGGTTCGTTACCCGTCCGCTCGTTTGCGGGTAGTGCCAGCGGGTAGTTCGTTACCCGCGGACGCTAATTTTGCGAGCCCGACCCAACCCTACCTTGCAGGACAAGAGCAAGAACTAGTCAACTTAAGGGGAGACGTACACTCCCGGAAAAATTTTCTTAACGGATGACTTTTATTCAATTTCATATAATTGTGCGAGAAGTTCATAGGTAAATAGGATGTACTAGGGGTGAATTTGTTGAATTTTTCTAAAAATGGGTCTCTGTGGCGGCCGTCTTGGATTTTCAAACCAGTTTCTTAGTGCAGAAGAATTTCATAGTAAATATTGAATTATCAGTCTGAAATTTGGCACACAAGTACAAACTTATATGAACTGGGGATCCATGAAAGGATTTAGACCTATCTTTAAAACTAAAAAAATGAGCCCAAAGTCATTGGACCCCCTAGAGTCAGTTGACGAAATTTTGGGGTACAAATTACAAAAAAAATTGAATATTTCCTCAAGTTACCAATATTTTCCAATTCCCTTTCATAGATCCCCAGAATCAATCTTAAAGCACCTGTACACCAAATTTGAAGCTTCTAGCTTCTGTAGTTTTATAAAAACTCCTTGCACCCAGGAGGTCACATATGTCAAAAAGTAGATTTTGAGAAAAACAGAAAAAACAGGGATTTTTTAAAGGATTTTTAGAGCAATTTGCACTTTTCAAATACCCTTTTAGGTCATTTAGGGTGTTTTTTCAACAGTTTCTTCATTTTGACTCGATAGAACAGATATCAAAGGATGTTTTTCCGCAAAAAACAGAAGTTGGATAGTTTGAAAAATTGTATCGATATTGCCTTGGATCGCCGACCAGGGTCTTCCTTTAATAGTTAGGTACCCTAGAAAATCTAGTAGAAGTCAGTTTGGCAGTCCCTGTGTTTACATCTTGATATGAAAAAAACTATTTGGAGATATGATTCTTTTCTGGACAGTTTTACTGTACTCTTCCGCCAGATCAGCCTGTTATGAATGTTTTGGTCCTTTTTCAGTGGTTTTTTAATACTTTCTCGTTTTTCTCAGCAAAATCTGTGTTGACATGAGATTTAAATGAGCTTATTTGTCTTTCCAGGTGCAAAGAAAACTTGCAGAGTTGAAACTTGCTTCCGGTTTGAGTGAGCTCTTTGACCAGTTCATCTGGAAGTGCCAAGTGTAAGTCTTATGAATGTTTTTTTTTTCATTATTTCTAGGGTTTTTTCCTGGTCTCGTCTGTATTATTATATTGTTAATGTGTATACGTGGAGGGACGAGTAGAAAGAGAGAGAGATGATCAATCATAATTTCATGGACAGAAACCAGTCATACAGGGTACCTTTTGTTTAGGTTATAAAAATTCAGACAGCTGAAGGAAAATTTTTTTTAAATGTCGCACTGCTAGACAAAAATTTGGTAGTAAACTTGACATTATATGCCTTCTTAATTCTAGTGTGTGAGTTGTCATTGCATTTGCTATTCATTGAGATTTGCAGGGTCCCCCACCAGGTCAGGAAATCGGGAAAAAGACGGGAATTTTGAGATGGGTCTGGAAAAAGTCGGGAAAGGATGGATAGGGCCTGCGTAATTATAGTGGTGTAGCTATCTAGACAGTATGGTTGACGAATAATGAAGAGGAAACATAATTGAATCAAATCATGGTAAGGAATACAGAGGTGAGATATCATTGTTAAGTGAAATAAGCTACTAACAGGGTGACTGCCCGGCCCGGAAATTACTCGCAGAGACCCTGAAATGCCCGTGGAATTTGAGAAAATATGTAAATTGCCTCGGGGGAAGACCTGGAAAAATACATAAAGTTCTTGAATATTTGGAAATCAAATTGGATAACGTACTTAAATTCATTTTTGCCAGTCGCTATTGTGATATTTGTTCAGCTTTTCCTGGTCTGAGAGTACGTTTCACGCATGCAGGCGGAAGTGTATTTTTAACACCGAGGATCGATCGGGAAGAATCAAGATCTACTTTCGCTTAAGTTACCACCCAGAAATTTTCCGCTAATAGTCTGATAGATAATGCAACATTTTGTAACATGCAGGTTGCTGTGTGGCCATGAAAATAAATCAATATTAAATCATCCTGTGCTGTCACTTGTGAAAAAAAAAAGTTAGTTATACAAGTGTTTTGTCAGGCTCACCATCGTGACTGGTCAGTGAACCTGCGCGTTCGCATCACATTATAAGGCATCATGTGAGTACCGACGGTCTGATGGCTGTGAAGTATAGGACTCCGGAATGGGGGGAGGGTTATTGATTGATTTTTTTTTTTAAGACACACTCAGGGGGACTGAAGGCAACGCTAGAGGACAAAAACAACTAGGAAGCAAATTTTTAGTATTTAGAATTTTGATAACTACAATAAGAGCTCTCTTTATATATAGTTTATGTAGGCTAATATAAGGAGAAAATATAAATGAGTAAAAACAGACTGAAGTACCTAACTCATACAAGATCCCAGTGCCACATTGACATGTTCACTGGATATAATGTACCTACATGTGTGCTTGTGTTTTCACAAACATAAACATATATATAGAAATAGATATAAATGGAGCACACAGTGTCATTGTTATGTAACATGTCCCTGGAAAATTGAGAAGCTTGGTTGGCTGTCACCCAGTATTATAATCATCTATTGTTTGAAGTATATACTGCAAAATGTACATATGCATTCATTTAAAGACATTTTGAGTTATTATTGATAGATCTAGATAGGGTTTTTTGGGGGATCATTCTTGACAGGTCTTGAAAAAAATTTCCAGGATTTGGTGGGAACTCTGGATTTGAATTTTCACACTTTTGGGGAAACTTTGACAGGTCCTGTTAAGAAAACACTGTTGCAGAACATGGAATCATGTAATTTTCATTTGAGGGGTGGGGATAGAAAGGTTTGAGTTTGTATGCAAATTATTGGACGGCTAAAGTTAATGTAATTGGCCATTTATGGGCTGAATAGATCAATTCAGAAAACCTTATGAACAATACATACAGCTATCATAACATTGTTATCACTTACAGCAATTACTGAAAGAATCTCTTTGGCTTCGTATTACACTGAACGCAGTTGCGTTGTTTTGTTATAATGGGGAGAGAGTTTTGGATCATTCCCAAAAAAATTGTGACAGTGGACATTATTGCACAGGGAGTAACAAGACCGGTCAGCAAGTCTTACAGCGAAATTGTTACTGATTCATTGCTGAGTGGATGGTTGGCGGATGCTCTGGTGTGGTTTGCTTCTTCTTTCCTATCAAACATCTATCGTCCTTAGCCTTATCTCAGGGATGCCACTTTTCTGCTTTTTTCCCGATATTTTCGGTATTTTGATCCTGATCCGCTATTCCGTTGTTGAGATCGAGAAAGAATCTATAGTTGGAAGAAAAAAAAAAAATGAAACCCACACACACAACAACTTGCGCCAGATGTTCAAATAACGGGAAAACGAAGACTTTGCCATAAGTTCAAATAACGGGGAGTGCTTATGTTTGTTTGTCATTTCTTTCTATGTATACACCCTTTGGGTTTCAAATTGATATTCATATATGTTAACGAGACCGTGGCGCGTGGATTTTCAGCTATTTAAAAAAAAGTAGGGTGGCATCCCTGTTATCTCTCCTTCTTTTTTATGTTTGTTACTCTCTTGTAAAACCTCTAATCTCCTGGCGCTCATATGACCTTATGCAGTTGCGAGTGCCGTAAAACCTCTACTAATAAAAAAAAAAGATTCATTGCTTAGGAAAATGTTTGTACTGCGACTTAGCTCCCAGCATTTCTTCAGTGTTGTTAGGTAGAGGCAAATCCAGCTGAGCAGCAGCAACCACAGTTGTTTGCACTGGCCTTCTCATACACACTCTTGCAGGGTTGATGTTGGAATGAACTGACTCATACCCCAGTTCAGTTGTAACGGTAAGAATACTTGTCAGTTTCTCACGGGCAGAAGCCAGTGAAGTGAGAATTTTTGTCAATTGCAGTTTATCTGGTGAAGTTATTTGGTTCAAAGCACCAAATGATGGTTATAACAGTTTTCCTGGTGTAGAAGGAGATAATTCAAGAACTTAGTATTATTTTTGTGATTGTTCGATGATTTTTACCATTACAAGTTGCACTTGCAATTATTGTGACCTATTTGCTACATCCCATTTGTACTTCATGGTTATACTTGATTTTCATGAAGTAAATCCTTTCCGTATTTTCAATGTCGTATGTCTTTGACTTTTGTAGGAGCCGTTCTCAAACAAGAAACAGACTAAGGGGTCACAACTCATCGTGTGAATGCAGTCCGGTAAGTCATGTTACCTTTTGTGTGTGCGAACATGTCTGAGGCTTTTTTGTAGAAACGTATTTTGGATGTTTGTTTTTTTTTAAACAGTTCTCATTAATTGTCTGAATTTTATTTATTAAAATTTTTTTTTCGCTCTTGAGCTCTGTCCTAGATTTTTTTCACCAAAAATAGACTCAGGAAAAATGACTCCCAAACTGCGAGATAGGCTCGCATTAACTCATGTCCTGCGCCTGTGCTGAGATGCGCATCTTATCAGCAACCGATTACGTCGGACGTTCCGGGTGGGCCGCTGGGGTCACTCAGTGTGTACTGTTGGTGTACAGCGAGCGGGCCTGGAAACGTGTGTTTTCGCCATGAATACCATGAGAGTGTGTTATTTGATGATGAAAATAACACTCTATATTTTATAGCTTTCTATTTATAAAGTGTTACAAACACATGAATAACCCCCTCTCATAAGCTGATAAGACATTGCGAGTAGTTACGCCCATTCGAATAACCTTTATTGACGCTCTTGTTGTTATGTATGACCTGGGGTTCGAAAGGGGATAATATAGGTCAATATCTGAATGTTTTGCTCTCAAATTGTTCTTTGTACCTGCACAATGGTATTCAAAAGTGTCAAACAAGACTATTTTTTATTAGATAGTATCATTTCATACAAAATCAAGCTCATTTGAAAGTTTTGTATTGAAAAATGGAAGTCTTGTTTCCTGACTATCCTTTCGAGCTCCTCATGTCTAAGTGGGTCAATTTGTTTTAATTTCATTGGACGAACATCTAGAGCTACCAACTTCGTGTGTTTTGAATGAGACGTATGCCTCGGTTATGAACCAACGCAGGCGGTTCTAGAAGAAGGCCACAAACGCACACAAACTTAAGCAGACTGGCGCGCTCACACTTGAGCTGCGTGAATGCGGGTCTGGCGCGGGACCCGAATGGAACGGAGATGATGTTCGGCACGTGCACTGATCCAGGGGCTGGACTGACACGAGACTGGAATGAAGGCGAGGTGTCGGAATAGGCTTATTGGGCATCATTAACCCGCCCCGCGCAAGACGAGGGTTAAGTTTATAGATTAATGCTATGATTGAAACCTAACTGAGAAAATTTGGTATAACAGACCTGCTAAGTACACTGATGAAATCGGAGCCTTCCGATTTTTTAATTACTTTTTTTTCCCTATGAACCCTGATCAGATTTGCAATAAATTCTGTTTCCATTGGTCATATGCAACTTATCATACATGACGGGAAAACACACATGTTTATTTGCAAAGATCAGCTCATAATCTGAATATATTGGGGTTCTGGAGACTCCTAATTTTCAGGGTGGATTCTAATGAAAACTTTTCTTTTTTGGGTCATGTAAAAGTGTGTAATAATAAACAACGTGTTTTACTTGGAGAAAATAGCATCAAATCGAAAATCTATAAATTTGACCCAGTGTCGATTTTTGGCAAGTATCTCAATTTATGGATTGCGAGAAATAACTAATTTTGTCAGCATGCTTCACAATTCATTAGCAGAGAATTTCTTAGTAGAAATGTCATGTCAGCAAAGTCTTAATTGCTTTCATTTGCCTTGCGCTAGTCTCTAGTCTCATGACCTGTTCAATGCAATTGTTTGATTTTTTAAAATTTTCAGTTGAATACAGCAGTATATATTGCATACTTTGATTTTCTTTCAGGAAGTGGCACTGAAAATCCAGTTTTTGCGACTTGTCCATAGTTTCTGTGATCATTCAGAGTGAGTATTTAATGGTTCTAGATTGGCGTATGTAATGTATTGCTCATTAACATGTGCAAGAAGACAGTGACATTTGAGAGGTCCTTTTGTCAATCGTGTCTATAGCTAGTGATTTTTTTCTTTTCAAACACTATAGATGTATTTCCTTTAAGAATTTTAGTAAATGACTGTCTGTGTAAGAGAAACTTCATATCTGTTTTAAGCTTTGTATGCTCTTGGCAAAAGAAGGGGTTGCTCATACTACAAAAGATGTATCTGTGAAGCTTTTTCGCTTTGTGTCTACACATTGCATTCTTTTTATTTATTTTTTTCAGGTCTTCTTGGACTGTTATTGAATCCGTGTCCTTGTCATAAAGTTGAACATCTGCTCCTTTTTTTAATTCCCTCCATCTCTACCAAGGATTGCATTCTTTCTTTTCCAAATCATCTAGGGAAATTTTTATCATGTTTACATGGACGATATGAATAAAGATGCTACAGTGTTTCACTTTTCTGTATAAAATACAATTCATTTAATGTGCTTTGCTTTTCATTGCAGTTACAAGCACCTGCTGTTATCAAAAAGCGAACTCAACGAGGTTAAAAAAATAAATTGTGAGTTTTTTTTAGCCTTTTTATTTTTCTTTTTTTCACACTATTGTGTTTGTATCAATAGTGGTTAAATTTTGTTCAAAACTGGGACCTAAGAAATTGTTTGTTTGTTGTTTTGTTTGTAAAATATTTTTAAAACTGCAACAATATCGATATTCATATTATTTTATGTTTGTTTGATGAAAGTTAATTTGTTTACTAGCAGTGAAGTATGAATAGCCATTATACAGTTCTTGCCAAAGGCCAAATGTTGAAATGAACTCAAATGTTTTGATTTCTATAGAGTATTTTTTTGGTTAAAGTAGCTTTGAAATAAGATTTCTCAAATTGAGAAATATCTGTCGCGTTGTTGATCTGAAAGCCTCGAAGTATTAAGTATGAAAACTAAAATTCATTAAGACAGAAAATCTTGCCCGTTTGTGTTTGGCTGTTCATTGTTTCATTTCTGAAAATGATGACCACAGTAATTTCTGTGATTTGACTGTTATTTTCTTTCCCTTTGCAGTACGAGCTGGGGGGCTGGCATTGCAAAGTCTTGACAATATCAACAAGTAAGTAAATAGTAAAAAACTTTTCTAAATGATTTTTTGTTCTACAAATTCATTCTTTCTATTTGTAAGTATCCCATATTTCTAAGTCTGTAAAGTGTGTCACACTTTGTCCACATATAAAATATTCTGGAAATCAGTAAAACTTGCCAGCACATCCTTACAGTCTCCTTAGCAGGCTCCCAATAAGTAGTTACTTTTCCTTCTTTCCTTCTTCCTTCCTTCCTTCCTCCCTTCCTTCCTTCCTTCCTTCCTTCCTTCCTTCCTTCCTTCCTTCCTTCCTTCCTCCCTTCCGTCCTCCCTCCTGCCTTCCTTCCTGCCTTTCTGCCTTCCTTCTTTCCACATTGTTGTTCTTGTTCACCTTCTATCTTAGAGTGGGTGGTTGACGGGTGCTCTGGTGTTGTTAGCTACTTCTTTCCTATCAAATGCTATCAAACATCTATTGTCCTTGTCTCTCTTCCTTTTTAAAAAAAAATGTTACTCTGGAGTGACACCTAATCTTTGGCACTTACATAACCTGATTGTGTTACAAAGTGGGTGTTTGGTGGGTGCCCTGGTGTGGTTTGCTTCTTCTTTCCAATCAAACATCTATCGTCCTTATCTCCCCTTATGTTTGTTACTCTCTTGTAACACCTAATCTTTTGGCGCTCATATGACTGTATGCAGTTGCGAGCGCTGTAAAACCTCAACTAAAACTAAAACTGTGTTACAAATGCCATAGTACGTTTATTAAAACAAGAGGTTACTCTAAGTTTATGGTGTATGAAGATGTACTAATACTTCCTACAGGACTATGAAGTAAATGCTTACTTGCTCAACTTCTTGCCGGCCTTTGAAGTAAATGCTTACGTGCTCAAATTCTTGCCGGCCTATGAAGTAAATGCTTACTCGCTCTCTTGCTCTGTCTCCTCAGGCAACTCATGTGCAAGGGGTCGCGGGGGCTTCTCACCAAGATTGTGGAAGTGATGAAGAAGGAGCCGACCACCTCGACCTTCAGGTTATGGTTTGTTTCACTTCATTCATTACTCCTTTGTTTGTTTCGTGCCTGTGTTGTTTGTCGCTGTGGTGCTAAGCGTCAATGTGCTGCTACGTTCTGCGCAAAGAGAAAGGGGCAGAAGGTGCAATCTCAACTAATGTGTGACTAGAAAGGGCTTCATCGAAGTAGGCATTCTGTTCCCATATCATTTTTTCATTGAATCTAAAGGGGAAATGCAGGCAGTTATTGGCATTTCTAAAGCAAACTGCTTCATCTGTTTATTATTATTATAACTATTATTATTATGATATTATTGTAACACTTTATTAAGTGTTCCTATTTTTCAACTTGCCCTAAATTAGTGGGTGGTTGGCGGGTGCTCTGATGTGGTTTGCTTTCCTTTTTCTTAAAAAAAAAATGTATCGAATAAACATTTCTAAATTTTCATATAACAGGATTTTTGTCAGAATACCCATTTACAAATTTTTCAATTCATCTTGTATGACAAGTGGCTGAAACTTAATATATGACCCCATAATGGAACACTTTTTGAAGCTGTTTTTCAAAACTTATCCTTCAGACCTCGGGCTTTTACACCCAAATACCAAAATAGAGAGCTCAAATGCAGCATTGAAAGCTCAAATATCAGAATAGTCAAATTAATTCAACTCAATGAAAAGGGTAAGCAAATGTCAGCTCAAATATAATCACAGGAGAGCTCAAATGTAAACATGAGGGGAATCAAATTCGTCATTGTCCGTTCAAATGCAGCATAGGAAAGTTCAAGTCAAATTCAACAATACGAAAAACTACGAAGGTATGATGTAACCATCGTCTCCGAGTCAGGGGAAGCTACTCTGTCGCTTAGCAACGTTCGTTGTTTACTGTTCTGTTCACGTCTCTCGCATTCAATACTCACCGTCTGCTTTCTAGATCTAGATCTTGATCTACACCTTTTCAAATATCAAGTACCTAGTTCAGATCCAGCTATGGAAGTTCAAATATCTGTCTCTTAACTAAATTCGTTGTTTACTCTTCTCGTCTCTCTCCGTCAGCTGTGTAAATCTAGATCTAGATGTAACCGTCACCGTCATCTCATTTTGTTTGATCCAACACTTCGACCGTTGTAACAAATCTTACAATGAAGGAAGATACAGCAACAAATTAAGCATGCCTGACCAAAAATCAAATAATATCAAGAGTCAGTCTCGAGGATTAACAGAAAATACCGTTATACGAGAAGCCTTTCTGCGAAGTGACGATTATATCATGCTCGCTAAACAGTTGCAAATCAAACGAAATACTGCATATTACTGTACGCTGAGCAATGGAAAATGACGACGTTGTTGAAAAGAGATCTGGGAAAGTAACCACGGAAATAAAAGATGAGCTGTTTTCGATAGCCGAAAGCCACCTAGATTACACTTTCAACAAAATAAAAAGAGGTCTTCGAATGGGCCTGCCATACTCATCTCGCATTTTAAGATTTTAAGAGAGAGAGAGATAGGGAGGGGTGAGGTGGTTGAAGATAGACACAGGGAGAAATACAGCGAGAGTGAGAGAGATAGAGACAAAAAGAGACAGACAGACAGAAAGCGAAAAAGAGAGGGGGGGGTGGGGTAGCGAGACAGACAGACAGAAAGAGAAAGAGAGAGAGAGAGAGAGAGAGGGAGGTGAGAGAGAGAGAGAGAGAGAGAGAGAGAGAGAGAGAGAGAGAGAGAGAGAGAGAAAAGAGAAGAGATAGTTAGCAAAGGAAGAGTTCAGCCTTTAGAAGAGATTCTCATTATGTTGGACTGAGGCTAAACTTGCCGTAAATAACAGACTTCCTGTTGGTTGGGGCTATTATTTCCGCAGGCAAATATGTAAATTCCTTTTTTCTTCCAATGAAATGATTAGTTTCCTGTGAGCCCTCTGCTTCGTGGGGTCACTCTGCCTCCACTCTCTAAGCCTTTCCTTCGATTGGGGTTATCTACTCTTTTTGTTTCTGAAATATTGTGGTTGCAGTTGTCATTGTTGATGGTGTAGTGTTGTTGTTATTGTTGTTGTTGTCGTCGTTGTTGGTGGTAGTGTTGTTGTTGTTGTTTTTATTGGTGGTAGTGTTGTTGTTGTTGTTGTTGCTGTTGTTGTTGGTGGTGGTGGTA